CACACTCCCCTGCTAGCTCTAAAATCAAAGGCCAAGGAGGGATAAAAGAGAAAGACAACACCTCTTTAAAGCAGAGATTACACTCTGCGGTTCCCATTTCCCAACTTCCCACAACATTTTGTTTCAGGGAGAGCACTGGAGCCCGGGTGCAGTGGTGGTGCCAGGGCACAGCACCTCAGTGCACACCTCAGTGCCCACAGCTGGCCAGGGGACCTGGGACACAGGGCCACCTGCCTTGGTGACATGGTGACACCACTCCTCCAGCCCAGCAGYGAGAAAATGCCAACCCTGCAGCAGGCACCAACCGACCCTGGCATCCCAAATCGCCCTCATAAGATTTTCTCAGAACACAAGCTCTTCTCTGTTTGCCAAAGTTGAGGGCAAGACGCCAACGGTTTTCACTTGGGTCTAGATCACCACTGACCTCTACCAGGTTCTGCCCTCTCCCTTCACCCTTCCCATATTACAGCCACGCTTCTCCAGTGCCAGCTGACAGGGCTGGACACACAGATTTCCAGGCAAGGGATGGGAGGCACCACAAGGAGAGGCCATGCCTGGCACTGGGGTGGTGGTCCCTGCAGAAGGCGCATCCAGGGTCTTTCCTTGTCTGAGCCCTGCACAGCCAGGAACAGGAGGTTATCAAGCCACTTTCACAACTTTGAGGTCACTGCCTGGGTGTGTTTGATAGAAACATGTTATATTTCATGGGGTTGGAAAGATCCAATGCCTCTAAAATCCCATTTAATTCTGGCTATTCTAGTGCAGCACCACAAGGTCAACTACTTTTAACTCTGAATTTTAGAAATGCTTCTAAAAGCAGGTCCTGGAACATGACAGCCAAAACACTTTCTGCTACAAGGCCCCTGACATGGAGTAATYTAAACTTCTATTTATTTTATTTTAAAGGTGTCCCAGCTTTCTAGGAACAGGCACCTTTGCCTTTGGGCAGAGCACACGAACACACCTCTAACAGGTGCCCAGCCTCAAAAAATCTCTGCCATCCACCTCCTTCACTCTTGGTAAATAAACATCCCTTGGTTCCTTTGACACCTGCAGGAGGACCCACCCCATGGGCAGCACAATGCAAATCACAGCAGCAGGATTCCTGGGCTGGTCCCACTATCCCGTTACCAGCTTTCCAAAAGATGCCCTCTTCCAACTCAACCTGTGCACCAGTCCTGCTTCCCAGACCTGGAGAAGCCAGGGAGCCCTCCTGGGCTGATGTGCAAAGCAAGGAGTGTGTGCGTGGGAAAGGGGGAAAATGATGAGAGGGAGAGAGGAGAACAAAAACAACAACAAAACCGAAAAAGGGAAAAAAATGGGGGGAAGGAAAAAACAGCGAGGCTGGCCTGTTTCTTTCTTCTCTACCATGTATTCAGTGTCAGCAGGGGAGGTCCACAACTGTTGCGTCACACGGAGCACAAAAAAGCCCTGCCAAGCAGTGTTTGAGCTGATGGAGAGCAGAGTGGACAGGAGGCTGGTGACAGCTCGAGCGCGGGCAGTGCGAGCYCTCCGCTTTAATTGGCCGCGTCTTCCTCTCGCACCCAGCGAGCAGCAGCTCACAGCCAGCACGGGCTGCTCAAAGRCACCAGCAATAGCAGAAATTTCTGTGTGAAAATACTTTAGTTAACTCCCCAGGGTTCAGGTTAGACCCTCACCCTGGTCCAGGGATATGGGATTTTTAATGCTGCTTGGTCCACTGGAAGCGAAGGGAAGATGCAGGAGATGCTTCGAAATGGAGAGGGGGGAGAAGGGGGGAGTTAAACCACAGGCTGTGCAGGACCTGGAGAGGTGTTTATAAATAATGCCACTAAAAATAATACACTGATCACCAGCGTCTCTAACACAGCATTTTCTTCTCCACASAACTCTGACAGTGGTTATCTCAGTGGTATAATTATCTGGATTTGATAGCAGATTAAAAAAATATATATCCTAAACACCTGTTCAAGAGTTTTGTGTTTTTAAAGGCCATTGCCATTAACCTTGGGCCACGCACTTCATTGTGTTTAATTAGCAAGCTAATGAAGCCAGTTTTATTCCCTTTCTCAAGCACAAGAGGATAAATACAAGACAGTGAAAGAGGAGACCAGATCCATTTGCAGCACAGTTCATTGCTGYATGGCATTACTTAAACTTGCACCGAAATAAAAGTAATGTAATGGCTTGGAAAACATGTTAGCAATGCATTCTGCAAGACAAATCCTTTTACACCTTCTGTATTTTCTCAAGCTCATCGATTAAAACATGATTTCTGAACATTTGGGCCGCAGGGAATTTGCAAACAAAGGGCTAAAAATGAACATAATGTTTTCCTCAGTGAATCCTCAGTATTCCAAAAAATTGAGCATAACAGATTTATTCTTTTTTTTTAAAGAACAGCAGCTCATACTTGCTTTGTTACAGCCAGCCAAGGTAGCGATGAGAAGCATCAACAATGGAGGTCAAGCAATTTTCGAAAAGCCCACCACTTTCACAGAGCCCTGACATGTACACACACAAAAGACATACTTTGAGCAAAGCCCAGTGCTCTCAATCCCAGCAACACATTCCAACTTTGGGTATCTNGCAGAAAGGTTTTAAAAGAGACTGAGGGATTTACAGAATGGTTAATGCACTGATTTAGTGCTTCGAGAGGACCTTTCCAAATAAACAGAATTATATTCATTTTCTGGTGTTTCTTCATTGCATTTTTGGGGAGGGGGCGATATAAAATCATGCCCTGTCAGATTATCTTTTTCATAACATGATACATTTAAGAAGCTTTCAGGGTGCTTTTTTTTTTTTTTTTTTTTTTTTTTTTTTTTTTTTTTTTTTTTTTTTTTTTTTTTTTTTTTTTTTTTTTTTTTTTTTTAAAGCACTTGTTTTTTTCCCTCCAACTTAGATTTCAGTCACTCTGTGCACACAGCCATAGGATCAGGTTAAATACTAAAACCAAACCAAACAAAAACCCAATGCCATACCCAAAACAAAACCAAAAAATCCGGAAGCCATCTCTTTTATTGAGTCACCCGAGATAAAAGGATCCCAAGATATATGGAAAGAAAATACATTGACCATAAATCTCCTTTATGCACATAATAGAATTTTCCAGCCAGGAGAGCTGTTGTGATGATAGCAACGCCGAGCACCAGGAATGCTGCTGGCACACACACACCCCCCCGCCTGCTCCTTCCAAAATACCTGCTCTCCTCAGCACTGCTATGTAAATACAAACCCGCACAACCCCCCTCCCGACACATGGAAACAAAGCTGCGTACAAGTGTCCCAGCCATCAGATAAAAAAGCCCGAGCTGGCTTTGCTCACCGAGACATTTTTTTTTTTTTCTATTTTTTTTTAATTTTTATTGTCCGCTCCTTTTTTATTGCCACTCGCACACACTTTCGGTGTGACTTAAAAAATAATGAAGCGCTGGCACTGCCGGTAATGGCAGAGGCAGGCGGTGGCAGCGCATATTTAATGGGCACTCGGAACAAAGGAAGCCCGGCTGCAGGAGCGCCCCGGGGCCGGCTCCGCGCCCGCTCCCCCCGCTCCGCGCCGCGGCCCCGCCGGGCAGCGCCTTCCCCGGGCGGGGGACACGGACACGACACGCGGGGAAAGCCCGCCTTGGCCCCACGCGTACACCGGAGCCGCGATGGCAAAGCCGCCGGGAGCTCCCCGTGTGCCCATCGCACAGCGGGCACGGCCGCAGCATCGCTGCCCCCGGGAACCCCCGGCCACCGACAGCACCCCCCGGCCCCCTCAGCGCCCCCAGCCCCGGGCTGGGAGATGGACAGAACGGAACGAGTCACTGCCCAGCGCCGGGCCGGGGGGCTGCGGGCTCAGCCTGCGGGGTCCTGGTGACCAGGCAAGAGGCGAGGGGGGCAAAATTGCGGCCGCACCGGTTTCTCCTGAGGAAAATGCAGCGAAAATAAAAAGGAATAGGGATGATAATAATAATAATCATGATATAATAAAAAATAAACACAAGGAGGGAAAGTGGGGAGCGCGGGGATTTCCAGCGTGCCCGCGCTTTCAGTGCTGGAGGCAGCACAGGGGTCTGACCCCTCCCGCCCCCTCGAGGGTTGCGGGATGGAGCACCCCATGGAAACCCCTCCCCGCCTCCCCAAGCGCTGTCCGGGTGCCCCCTCCCACACCCCCGGCCGTGCCTGGGCTTTGGGAGAACTTCCACCCGCGTCCCTCGGCATAACGCGCACCCCGCAGGCTGGAGATGAAGTTTGGGGGCCAGCCCATGTCCGTAAAATAAATGGGATGAAGAAGATGCAGTGTAAACACCCTCCTCCGCCACAGAAGCCTCCTCCGGAGGGATGCTCCYCAGGCACCCCCGCCCCACACACCCCCTTTTTCGCAACTTTCTCCCAGCTCCCCGCGGAGCCAGCCAGCCCCAATARGCTCGTTCCGTGCAAACCCCCACGGGACCGCGGCGTCCCGGGGGGCTGAAGGGGAACCGAGGGGTCCCTTCGGGGCAGAGGGGGGGGGTCCCCCACACTCCTCCGGGTTACACAATCACAGCCCGSCAGGACCGGGGTGCACACATGGCCACTACCTGAGAGACCCTGCACCATCCCGGGGCGACCCCCAGGTCTCCCGCTGCTCCCAACTTCTCCCCCTCCGCAACCTCCTCGGCTTCTCCCCCACGCCCCCTCCCAGAAGTAAATGCCCATTTTTGCAAAGTTTCCTCGAGATCGCGCCGTGTTTACATTGCCATGAATTCCCACAGGCTGCCTAGAGGGAACAAAAAGGAGCACGGGAAGGCTCGTCCTGCGAGCAGGCAGAAAACGGAGAGGGAGGGCGAGGGAATGAAAAAAAAAAAATAATAATAATAATAAAGGAAATCAAGCCCATGCAGCGGTGGGGGGATTCCCCAGTTCGGGTGCTCTGCTCTGCTTCGGAGGGTGTTGGACGGTGGCTGCAAATAACCGCACGGCCCATTCAATTCTGCATTTGGAGACGCGACCGAGAGCCCGAGCGGGAGGTAAACACGCCGAAAGGCTCTTACCTGCACAGAAAGTTCCCCAGAGCACGGCAAAAGTCAGCCACGAAGCAAACATAGTCCTTTACTTTTTTTTTTTCCTCGCGTGCACCTCTATCCCCAAGGGAAACAAAAATAAAAATAAAAAGATCGAGCGCGTGAAAAGAGGGGGGAGAAGCGCGGCTCTGCTCTCCCTCTCGCTCTCAAAAAGAAAAAAAGAAGAAAAAAATCCTGGGAGCAGGGGTTGGGGGAAAAAAAAAGAAAAAGAGAAAATCGGATTTAATTCCTTCGCAGTTGCAAAATGTATCCAGAGGAGACGAACAGACCCGGACGGTTCGACCTGCTCCTGCCCGGCCCCACCGTTCTCTCCCAGCTTTCCAAGAGTTTCTTTCCCTGGGCTTTTGTGCTGGGAGCGCGGCGTGCACCACACACCGACTCCCCCTCCTCCTCCTCCTCCTC